GAAGCATATGAGCGCTGCCCGCCACGATGTTAAAATTATGCTTGGCGGCTTTACCGCGGAGTAGGTAAAGAAGGAAGAGCAGAAGGCCTGATTGACTTCGCTGCACTCGCCGTTCAGGATTAAATGATGCTTTAGATAAGGCGACTTACTGGCGAGCGACTTGTTCAGTCTACTGCCGGAAAGCGTAATACGAGCTATACGGCAAAGGCATAATGCATATAACAGTATTAAATAAGATTGACATCGTCGGCCTTAAGCTCAGTGCCGTAAGCGCAGCATTTCCCAGATCGGTAAATGAATCAAAAGTGGTTGGTCTAGCGGCGAAGGCAAAACATCGTCTGGTAATACACAGAGTATTCGCTTATTGGGACACACGTCGCTAGCAATTATAACTTTGAGGTTGTGAAGGCGAAGAATAACTCTTGTCAACAGGTACTTGGGCTAGTTAATCTAAACAGTCGCACATCAATGAAGAAATTGGCCTACCTATGCCTATAAAGAAAGTCATTACATTCTAACAAGCTACTTTAATAATTTCTCCCTTTGAAGGTCACTAATTAACAAGTAGGATTGATTTTTTTACGATTAGGCACATCGTCATTTTGAAATTGCCGTGCTGCGGTAAAATAAAATGGAACGAGCTGAATTATTTTTGGCTGTTTAATCAGATGTTGAATGTGTAATTTATTTTTCCCGTGTGTGGATCTCATCTCTCGAATTAACATCGAATTAAATGTACTCCGTGAACCAGGCGAGTTTCAAACAGAACCAATTTCAAAGAATCCATCCACACATATGAAATTTATCTCGGCTCTCCAAACTCCTCCTAAGAATTCTCTCCATATCAGCTCAAATTCGTCATTTTCTTCTCGAACTCTACACTCTCGTTATACCCGTTCCTTGGAGGATACACATACACTGTACGCGTAATCCTCCCCGCACATCTCCCTTCGCACTTTCTCATACCCGACCGATCGAACCCTGCAGCAGAAGCAGCGCGCCAATCAAAGCTCGCTCCATAACAATTCAACTTTCCCCGCAACAACCAATCACCACTCGTTCCCAACTGAGTTCCACCCGTAATCCATCCCGAAGTATCCGAAAGCGATAAAGCGAGCATTATATTGCCCCGAAAAAAAGGCATCCGTCGTAACCCAACAAATCGAAAGTCCAGAGCGATCATCCACGGCTGCTTCATCATCCGATTCGAATAAAAGGTATTCGCTTCTCTCCCGTTTCATCTCGACGTTCACTCTCCCTGAGAAGTCAAGATCGACAACCCGAAAACGAGAATTACGCAAGCTAAGGATGTGGGATGTAAAAAGGAAATGTACATACGCATACATATGAGTTTGACATAAAATAAGAGGAAGATCTTTATCTGTCGCTGGAAAAATATAAATATATATAATCTGGCCACAACCACAGTCGTCGCGTAGCCCTGTCGTCGCGTAGCCCTGTCGTCGCCAAAATAATTATCTACATAAGAATACGTGGGAAAATAATTTGACAGCTGTGGTCCGTAGTTCGTCGTATTCATTGTGTTCGTGATGTTAGGCTCTTTACTTTTTACGTGGGTGTGCTGTGTATAAATGTGCGCGCAAATATCGAGGCTTCCGCGAAAAAAGGCCGGCTTATTTTACGGAAAATCGCGCGGCGAAGGTCGGAGCGAGGATCACGCGGATGATCTCGATTGCGCAAGCCAGAGGTTCTTCTTCTGTAACGCCTGCAGTGCCTATCCCATGGTGTTAGTGATAGTAGAACGGAGAATTATGCTTATGTAGGGTTTTAGTCAGTCGACTGCGGCTTGTGCTCCATCTCAGCTCGCTCGATAAGAGCGCGGGTCGTGAGCTATTACGTCGACGTTTCGAACCTATTTCCTACGCTGCACTACAACGAAACAACGATCGCAATCAGCGCGCCTCTTGTACGTGGGTGGCTCGCGCGTTTCATTCATTTGGACTTCGTCGAAATGACATTAGATAGCCCCGTGTAAACACGGCTCGCGTACAAGCAAGCGCGCGTGTAATATATGGACCCTAACCACGCTCTCGCGAGACCGCAAACGATCGTCACCGTGAAACTCGAAAATCCGTCAAGGAGCTGGTGAATTTAATTTGAATGACTATCGTAGATTGCGCATCTAATGAAAGATTCACTTTTACGTTACAACTCTGGTAAGTGCACTTTTGAAAAGGCATTGTTTACATCATTTACACAATGGACTTGACGTTTATTCGTTGGTTCGTCCTTATGCAACCCAATTTTACGTACCGCATTCAAAAATATACAGACGCATGAACACGACGCGAGGCGTCATCCCGCCGCATTAAAAGAAACCAACAACGAAGCGCCGAGCAAAAACAAGCACCGCGAGCCCGTTTTATCGCCCGGCAACGCGATATCGCCGGCGCACATTATAATTAAACAACTAAAAGCATTATATATGCAACCATCATATGAAATGTAAAGTATTTCGGAAAAAACACGAATATTTTAATCAATACCATATTTTGAATTCGCTCGAAAAATACTGTACATATAAGATCATTAACGATCCTCAATCACGCGCATCAACCACCCAACAAATCTCCTTACAGCCTCACTCGCAATGCAAATCCTCTCCACCTCGCACTCGTCCGCGAGTCGAGCCCATAGAAAAAGAGCCGCGCGCGCTAATTGATTAAAGGTGCCCAAACTCACCGACGTGTACGTATGCCGTGTCTGTTTGAAGTGGCCACATTTAAAATTTACTGTTGATAGAGAGAGAGAAGCAGTACACGTCACGCGTTGACTGTTTGCGCTTTTCGTACGTTTACGTCGGTGAGTGTGGGCACCATAACGGTCGCGCGCGCAAAATACGTGAAGGAAAAATAAAACAGCTGCTAGCTTGTTCTTTATTCGTATCTTGTCTTAAGACGAAACTTACAATTTTTCAACCATCACCAAGTGCCGAAATTGTAAAAGGCGAGAATGAAAGAATACAAAAACAATTAATTAATAAACATATTGATTCGATAGCTATACTCGTTTGTTTTGGTTTGTTATTGTTGCAACGACACTTATACGATTTTTTAATAAGTGTTGCGCGTTTTTCATTCTACTCGAAATTATTGCTTTCTCTGCAATATACATACTACATTTTGTGTGTTCCTGGTGCAACGACACTTATTTATACTGCTTTGTTTACATTGCAAGTATCGATATTTCATAATTTTAGTCAGCGATGATTATGCATTTACACAATTTTGTTTATATTGGAAGTATCGCTGCTTTAATGTTTCTTGAGCAATACTTTTATTTTATTATACATATGTATGTACATTAGATTGCATCACTTCCCATACAAAAAAAAAATCGGTACCGTGTTTCCATTGGAATTATAAAATCTAATATATTTTAAGACTTGCACCAAAATATTTCGGAAAAATATTAATATTTACGTGAGCTGGACCAATTTGAATATATCTCCAGAAATGGTGTTTTTTATGAATAAAAATTGTTTCTTAATAAATTTTTTTTAAACAAACCTCCTCAGATGACAAAACAGGTTAAGCTTAAAAAATATTTTTGACGGAATCGTAACAATGAGATTTTTGATGCTGTTTTTTAACTTTTTTCAAAGATTGGTATAAGAAAAACTTGAATAACTGGAACAAAACTGTTCCGATTTAGACTTGTGGGGTATCATTGGAAAGGTATTTTCTCACCCTTTTTATTTCTTTACAAATAAACTTATTCAAAGTATGAAAGAGAAAGGTAGGATGAAAACAAATTGGGACGTGAATGAGTTTTGCATAGAAATTAAAAGAGTGGGAAAATACCTTTCCACTGATATCTCAAAAGTCTAAATCGGAATAGCTTTGGCCCAGTTATACACGTTTTTCTTAAACCAATCTTGGAAAAGGGTTGAAAAACAGCATCGAAAATCTCATTATTGCGATTTCGTTGAACAAATTTTTAAAATTTTCGTAGGTTGACGTACGTAGCAGCATATCAAATTTACTGTTGATAGAGAGAGAGAGAAGCAACGGCAACGTCACCGCCATGCGGTGGTGAGTTTTCGTTAACACGCGAATCCCATAAGGTAGACCGTGTCTGCGTCAACCTACGTCTACGTTACGTCGTTGACTGTTTGAGCTTTTAGCGCCGAGGGAGAGAGAGAGCCGAGCCAATTAGAGCCCTCCAGCCGGGAGTTTCTTGTCGTGTCTTCTGTACAAATTGTTCGCTCACGCTGTTGCGTATATATATCTCTGGTGCGCCTCATTGCTCAGTCGCTTCTCGCGCTACCTCTCGCTGCTTCTGCTGTCAGCTGGAAAAGAAAACGGACGGTATTTTTCAAGCGGAGAGTAGGGTACAGTCTTTTGGATGATAAAAATTAGGTCGGAGTTTGTCTTTTGGCTCTGAGGGAGTTTGAAGGAACAGTGTAGATAGAATGTTCGATCCAAATCTGTTATAGTGAAAAGCAAAGTTGTTCAATGGATTAGAATTACTTGGCAAATTTTATCGTTGGGAGAAGAATTGTGTAAGAAGTAACGCCACTGCGTAGCGACCAACAACACTCGTAGCAATATCACGCTTCTCGCAAACATCCCGCATCTCGTACACTCCACAGATCGCTACCCCCTCCCCCCCTTTGACAAAATAAAATCACGCACATCCGTAATACGACATCGCCTCTCGTCGGATAGGGGATATCCGCTGGGCCAACGGTTTTTTCCCTCGCCGCGCGTCTAGCGCCGATTAAATTAGCGCGACGCGTTTTGATCGACTTGAGTCGCTAAATTTTTTATGGATGGAGTAACGTTCGAATTAAGTCTGTCTGCCTTACTGGTTTTAGTTTTGTGTATATATGTATGAATGCACAGCTGGGTGTTCAGAGTATTTAGTTGAAAAATGGTATCACAAAACAATTTGAAATAAAATCACGATAAGCTTCTCACATGTACTCTAGAAATAGAATTTGCGCAAGTAGCTGAGTAGATATATAAGACGATAGATAGATTATATTAGATATATATTTATATTTTTTTTTTTTAATTTTACATATTACATAATTTTAGCTTACGAAATAGATATATAAAAAATACGAAAGCATCCTAGTAGTCGTTACACAACCAAGACTACTATTTGTTTTCTATCCATTCAATTAAAATATAGCAAGAATCGTGCATGAATCTTCCAAAATACTCATCTCAGCCCGAGCAAATTGCACTGCCCGAGCAAATTGCACTGCCCGAGCAAACTGCACTGCCCGAGCAGACGCAAGTGCCTGAGCACGAGCAGCCTTGATACGAACCACGCGATAGCCGCATGTTGCGTAAGTAGTTATCTGAAATAAATTTAAATCTTGAGTGGTGTATATACTTGAAAAAAGGATTAATTACCAATGCGCAAGGTATTCCTTTCGGAACACGGCATCTCTGTGCACGTAGCGGAAACGCCGTCGGGGCGGGAGATGCAGATATTGCAGTCATTGTAGAAAATCTTGCCCGGACATTTACTTCCTTGCGTGTAGTTAGCTGATAATTCGACAAAACGTTATTTTGCAATCAAAATTCCAGGATTATTATGTTTACATTTATTAAGAAATGAAACTACTTACAAATGCGTAGCATGTCTAGGAAATCTGGAAAATAAAATGTATGTGAAAATCAATACAAAAAATAAAGCAAAGAACTACGATTTATTGTTCAAAGAAAATCTATTCACCAAAAGTATTATCCGCGGGCGAAGCTGAAACAGCTGAAATTAGATCGTTCAATCAATATCAAACAACAGTAAAACACTTTCTAAAGCAGATAATATTTGACCTTATAAATACCTAAAACTAGCACCAACTGTGTCAGGATGAAAGTGAAGGAGCCCATGATGACGATTCTGCAGTACTGCGTGCCATTTGCACAGTGTTCTTGGCTTTTATAGAGAAGCAATAAAGCCATAAATATTAAAAAAAAAAAACAAGTAAAGAAGTATAAGTTGGGGCGAAACCGAACTTTATATACCCAGCGCACGTATTAAATATCGTTTTTTCACCTTTCAGTAAACTGCATGATAAGCAATAGTATTTTTCCCGATGTCAAACAGTTTCGATAATATGCTATGAGATATTGAAATAATTGGAGCAAGTTTGGTGGAAATCGATAAGTCGATAAGATATGTATGTAGTCATAAGTGGGTGGTGCCACGCCCATTTTACAAAAATCAATAATATTGTGTCTTGTTAAGAGATTGTTGTAAGTTGGCGTGTTTAGTTGTTGAAATATCGGAATTTTCGTATTTCTGAAATTTACCGTTATATGGTAGGTGGCGGTAGCTTTAGTCCGGTTTAAAAAATTGTCAACATATCGCTTTTGAGCCAAGATTGATAAATGTACCGAGAGTGGTAGAAATTGATAAACCGGTCACCGAGATACACATATGTAAGCGTAAGTGGACGGTGCCACGCCCATTTTCCCAAAAATTTCCCTATGTAGCATTTTCTGCTAAGAGATCATTGTATATATTGATTTTGAGTAAATTAGCGAAGGGACTACTGAGATACAGCATTTCATCGTAAGTAGGCGGTGCCACGCCCATTTTCAAAAAAAATCATAACTGTCTTATTTGATGCCAAAATTCTACTTCGCATACCAACTTTCAACAATTTGGATCCAGTATTTACGGAAATATCGTAGTTTTTGCATATTTCGAAAATACCGTTATATGGTAGGTGGGACAATAACCACTGTGCGATGTCGCCCCTTTTCAATCCCAACCTACCTGGATAAAGGGGAAATTTCCTACCAAATTTCGTGGACATATCTCAATTTTTTACTGGAGTATCCTATACACGGACAGACATGGATTAATCGATTTCTCTTCTCATTCTGAGAATTTATGTATGTATACATTTGTCTATATCTATCTCGATTCGTTTTGGCTGTTACAAACAACCGTTACGCGAACAAGGTTATAATACCCTTGTGCACAAGTGCGCTCGGGTATAAAAAAAAACCGTCAACAAGTTGTTATCTTTCTAAAGATAAGAGGATGATGTTTGGTGAGGCAGAGCGAGACGATAAGAGGTTTCAATTATAAGTACTTAAATAATTGATTGAGGTATTAAGAAATTATATTTCGTAAAGCGATCGATACAAAAAATATGCAATGATGGACAACAACAAGTACTAAATATGATTCATGACAAGAATGATAGAATACAAGATTGCGCCGATCAGAGAGGATTTTTGAGAATAACTTTTCTGTGACGTCACGCTGGTGCAATTGCGAGAGAGAAATGCCAAACGTAAGCAAGAACGGAAGAAGAAGAAAAAATGTTGCAAGGAAAACGTAAACAAGTTGCACAAGTGTGACGTCATGCAAACAACGATTCTGTCAAATTCGTTAAGAGAGGAATAGCGGTCCGAGATCGGTGCAACCTTTGTATTCTCTCAATCGTGGATTCATGATATACAATGATAAATATTGTGATTTATAAGTAAGACTTCTGCTGCTCGAAAATTAACAAAACAATAAAGACATCATGAAAGACACTCTAAGGGCCCGTAAATGACGTTTTGAGCCTTTTTGAAAGACTAGTTTTAAGATACTGGATTTTGTCGCTTTTGTTATTTATAAATTTAATATTTTTTAACAGGTTTCGAGTCTGGTTAATACAGCTGATTGTCGATATTGTAGTATAACGCGCAATTTTTTTTTTATTCTAAAACTTATCATCTCTAAATTACAGTACTATTAAACCGAAAATGACCTCACCGAGCTTTAAAAACACGTGCTCAGTTATGTCATTCTTTATCTTTCTCGTACTTGAAGCTTCATACATGTGCCTTCGGTGTCTATTTCATAATAGTAGGATTGATGAAACATCGCAAAGTTGTTGCAAATGTCGCATTTGTTGCAAAATTTGCCATCTTGCGACACAGCTGATTACTTTTGTATGGAAACTTTCTTGCGACATAATTGCGCCATTGCGATATTATTTGAGCTGGCAATCATTGCAAAGTCAATGTTGCGAAACATATGTTTTTTTACTGTCTTCGAATACTTAAAAAAAAAAATTTATTTGTTAAGGCTACTTCGAAATATAATTGTAAACACTTTTCTTTTAACTTAAGTGCGGCATTTTTTAAAAATTGTACATTTCCAATCTGGAGTTGCATACAACTTTATTCACAGAGTTGCCATTTCGCCAAAAATACCACTTCGCGACATGTTATGAATCGCACTAATATGTTTTTAATTTGGCAAATATTCCGAGACGAAAAAAATTTGCATGGTAATAAGATAAGGACTGTTATAAATTCACGTAATATGTATATTATATTCGCTTAAAAATAGTATACTTTTCTCAAAGTATTTTGTGGAAAAATATTGCTCCTGAATAGGGGGCGCTACTCATATTTTGGGCCCTGATTGCGTTTTTTTATTTTTGAAATAAGTGCTTCGACTTCCGAATTTTCCACCTGACGCTACAGCTCCTACGATTTCCCCTTAAGTGATGGATTATATTGATATATGTATATTTATTTATTATACAATGTCAATAACACGTTATACAGTTGTATCTTACAAAATAGACAGATTAGCAATACGAACGCATTTTAATAGTCGTCATACAATCAGGACTACCATTTCTTTATCGATATGCAACTCAAATAAAACGAGTATTGTGCTCGAATCTTCCGAAGAACTCCTCTTCTCGCTAATTTGAGCAAGAAGCGCTGCCCGAGCAGACGGCGCTACCCGAGCAGACGGGACTACCATGACAAATAGGACTGCCCTGGCATTGTGAGCTGCCCGAGCAGACCGCACTGCCCGAGCAAACAGCGCTGCCCTGGCATTGCGCGCTGCCCGAGCAGACCGCGCTGCCCGAGCAAAACGAACTGCCGGAGCAGACGCAACTGTCCGAGCAGGAACAGCTGCGCTCCACACCTCGCGAGTGGTTGGCGTAGTACTCCAAGTTGCGTATGTAATTGTCTGGAAAGAAATTCGAATTTATCAATGTTTATGTTACCTACAGCTTTTTTTTCTAGAGCAACGTGTTCTTGAAAATATGATTGATTACCAATGCGCATGATATCCGCTTCGGAACAAGTCAGCTCTGTGCACACAGCGGAAACGCCTTCAGGGTGACAGACGCAGAGATTGCAGTCGTTGTAAAAACTTATAGCTGGGCATTCACTACCTTGCGTGTAATTAGCTGAAGATTCGACAAAACATTATTTAATAATCAAAATCCTAGAACATTATGTTAACATTTATTAAGAAATTAAACTACTCACAAATGCGTGGCATGTCTTTGAATTCTGGAAAATTAAGTTTATTAATTTAAAATATTATTTATTTGCTTTTTGCATATACAAATTAAAATCTATTTACCAAAACGCTTTTTCGTTGACTCAACTGAAACAGCTGCAATTAAATCATTTAAAAATATCATAGTTCAGTAGAAAATATTTTAAGCGATAATGTATGAACTTTTAAATACATACCCAAAAGTAGCGCCAAAAATATCGCGAAGAAAGTGAAGCAGCCCATGGTGATGATGCCTTAGTACTGTACGCCATGCGCGCAATATTACCGGATTTTATAGAACAGCAAAGAAGCCAGCAATATTAAGATAACGTCAATAGGAAACAGGTGTTATCTTCTTATGATAAGGAACGCGATAGCAAGACGGTACGCGCGGCTTGAGCTCATGCTGTTGTTATCCTAGTAGTCTTTTCCCAGTACTTTTCCTACCTTTTATATGTACTCAGCTTTCTCAGCAACTACACGGTCAGGTAATTTTAACTTCTATCGCCGTTCTTTCCTTATCTGCGAAGATGTGTTGTATTTTAAAATTATATTTTGCGAAATAATCTATGAAAAAATTCGCAATTATCGTACAAAACCAAGTACTTTATTTCACGAAATACATTGATAAAACTGAAGCAAACGTCTACCGATCGTTTCGGACGGATAAGTGAAAAAAATCTGTGTATATACTTATTTCTAAAAGGTAGTTTTTTGTTACCAAGGGATTTGTCTTTTGTTATTTTATCAAATTGAATGAATGATATCTCATTTTGAAGGGGGGAAACTTACGTACATGCGAAAAATAGTCACGTTGTTGTTCAAATTTAGTTATTTATTTAAAAAAAATGGGGTTTTAAACAGCTGAAAGCACTGTATCCGGTTAATAAAGCGCCATACTGTCTTTTATAATACTTCATCAAATGAATGATTGAAGCACCATTTTGAAGGACAGCTTCACCTTCTTCTTCTTTATTGGCGCTGTAACCGCCTAAGCGATTTTGGCCGAGTCCGAAAGAGCACGCCAGTCATTTTTCTTCTGTGCTAACTGACGCCAATTGGAAATGCCAAGTAAAGCAAAGTCCTTCTGTACCTGGTATTTCCAACGCAGAGGAGGCCTTCCACTTCTTCTGTTACCAGCATCGCGGAACGCGTTGAATACTTTCAGAACAGGAGCGTTCCTGTCCATTCGAACGACATGGCCAAGCCAGCGGAGCCGCTGAATTTTAATTCGCTGCACTATGTCTATATCATTGTAAAGCTCATACAGCTCATTGTTAAATCGTCTGCGATATTCGCCATCGCCAACGCGTAAAGGTCCGTAAATCTTTTGCAGAATCTTTCTCTCGAAAACTCCAAGAGCCGCTTCATCAGATGTTTTCATTGTCCGTGCCTCCGCGCCATACACCAGCACAGGCATGATGAGTGACTTATAGAGTGTGATCTTTGTACGATGAGGGAGGACTTCACTTCTCAATTGCCTACTCAGTCCAAAGTAGCACTTGTTGGCAAGAGTGATTCTCCGATAATATCGATGTCGTCGGCATACGCGAGCAATTGTACGCTCTTGTAAAGTATTGTGCCTGAGCGGTTCAGTTTTGCAGCTCTTATTATCTTCTCCAAATCAGATTAAAGAAATCACACGAAAGGGAGTCCCCTTGTCTGAAACCTCGTTTGGTATCAGACGGCTCGGAGGGTTCCTTCCCTATTCTGATGGAGCTGGTGGTATTGCTCAACGTCATTTTAGACAGCCGTATTAGTTTAGCGGGTATACCAAATTCAGACATCGCGGCATAAAGGCCACTTCTCTTCGTGCTGTCGAAAGCGGCTTTGAAATCGACAAATAGATGGTGTGTGTCGATCCTATTCTCGCAGGTCTTTTCCAAGATTTGGCGTATTGTGAATACCTGATCTATGGTGGATTTGCCAGGCCTAAAGCCACACTGATAAGGCTCAATCAGTTCGTTGACGGTGGGCTTCAGTCTTTCGCACAATACACTCGATAAGGCCTTGTAACCTATGCTTAGAAGGCTGATTCCGCGGTAGTTGGCGCGAATGGCGGGATCGCCTTTCTTGTGAATTGGGCAGAGCACACTTAGATTCCAGTCGTCGGGCATGCGTTCATCTGACCATATTGTGCTTAAGAGTTGATGCATGCATTTTATCAACTCCTCGCCACCGTACTTTAATAGCTCAGCTGGCAGGCTGTCAGCTCCAGCAGCTTAGTTGTTTTTCATCGACTCCATCGTCATCGACTGGGGACTAGGCCGGAAAAGTGTTCCCTCTACAATTTAAGTATATTCTAGACATCGGTCACTAGGTCACCATTGTTGTTCTTACAGGAGTCAGTGGCGGATACAGGATTTTAGTTGGGGAGGGGCGATTGGGATCGACTTGTCGCATAACGTAAAATTACAGCCATCTAACTTGATTCACAGCGGAGTTACCAATCGAAGCTATATGACCTACAAGCATCCAACCTGCTTGAACCCTCATTTATTTTTCACACAAATAGAGGTTCTAGTAGTTTTTATGAAGTCCGAATTAAAATATTTTGTGATATAATTTTACTTTAATTAAGTTTCATGTTGTGAATTTCGCGCAAGGTCCATTTACAGAGTCCCATGTAATAAAACAATTATACTAAAAGTTATGCTCTGGGTTTATTAAAGCAGTATATATTTGTGTATATTACATAAAAACTTATTTTTTTTTTTACTTATAATGTTTGTCAAATGAGGGATGTAATTAAATAACTTAACAACTTATTCGGAATTTTGATTGTAATACATAATTTAAATTGCAAACTCAATTTTGCGCTGTCTTTTTGGGAATCTTTGTATTATCCGTTCAGTGTCAATTTCAATATCTAAGGGCCAGTTTCAGTGGCAGTTTAAACTTACATTTGACTGACATTTGATTAGCTAATCTTAGTTTAAAGCAGCCAGCTCGGGCGTTTATACTAAGTTTAAACCACGACCGTGCACTGAAAAATTGGCCCTAAGTGTACGTGTAAAAGTGCTAGACCTATCAAGTATTTTTTCATTCATGGTACTATGGAACCATGTTTTTAACCGACGAAGGGTAACTTCTTTCTAAAGAAGCGTTACTAGCTAGAAGTTTAGTCAGAATGCGGAGAAGTTTGTTAATCAACGGAAAAGCATATTCGTCGTCCCATTTACGCTTACCTCATTTGTTCATCGTTCTGACCACACTTTATACTCTCCTTTCCTTCGAAACTGATAGCGTCTTTTTGTAGCGTATTATATTCCCTAATTTTATATGTATGGAAGTAATAGTTCAACTCAAAAATGTTTATGTAATGTATATTTCGGCAATCTCTCTCGGATATCGGGCTAAATATTATGCAATAGCGATATAAATATTACCTTTCGATAATAATCTTCGGCGCTAGATGCACGATAATTAGCCCGAAAATTTTATCTATCCGCTCTCCGAGGAAGGACAATGTCCAAATAGTATAATTCCTTAGCGATATCGGTAACTAACGCGGCAGCGCTTTTTCTACGCATTTTGCTGTTATCCCCCTACGAATGTCTGGTTACACAGTTGAATGTGAAATTTTCTACGTTCGCCGCGGAAATAGACAAAAAGTAGTATCAAAAAGTTTGATTCGACATGCATACATATAGTTCTTATCATAACTTTACGACACTCACATATTGACAAGAAATTTTTTAATTTCAATTATTTTTTTTTTTAAGGTATAACATATTTTTAACAGAAACTATATAAATCCAAGTTTCAATCTTTGTGCAAAATTAAAAAAGAAATCAACAAACTTTGTAAAAATTTCGAGCTTTTTAATTCGATTTCTTAGAAACATTTTGAGTATGCAGTTTTGTAGCCCAATTTCAAGTACCATTGATTTTTGGAAATTTTTTTCGTCGAAGGTGTTGCTCATTTTCTCCATATAACATACAAATCGACGAAAATATTTTGTATGGAATAAAATAGCTAACATGGTCAACAAAAAAAAAAAAAGTGCCACAAATCAGTTACTTTAAACTTGCAGTATAATTGAATGGGCTAAGAAACTGCTTACTCAAAATATTTCTTAAAAATCGAATTAAAAAGTTCGAAATTTTTACGAAAGTTTGTTGATTTTTTAAAACGTTGCACAGAGATTCAAGCTTGGACTTACAAGGTTTTTGTTATACCTACTATATTTTTATAAACAAATAATGAAAATTAACATATATTAAGTCAAATGGTCAAATCTTGTCAAAATGTTTTTACAGAAATTCACTGTCCTAGGTACAAACATGCATCTACATACATACGTGCGAAATAATAGTAGTGCGACATTTTTATCAATTTTAACTATTATTCACTATGTTTTTAAAAATTATATAAGAAAACCAAATTTTAAACTTTGTGATACTCTTCGAAAAGTTTCATTAACATTGCAAACTCATCAACATTCTAACTGGAATTTCTAGAAAAAAAATTTTCGAATATACATACTTATATACTTATAAATATATTTTGTATGGAAGAAAGCCGTGACACCGCAAGCAAAAAAAAAAAAATTTTAAAAAACAGCGAAAGTTGTTAGAAACTTCAAACTTAAACGCTACAAGTCCGCATACCAAAAGTTTTTATAAAAATTCTAATTAAAATGTTTGCACAAAGTCTGCACTTTGGATTTACAAGGTTTTTTTATATAATGAACTATACTTTTATAAAAAAAAAATAATGCACATTAATCAGTGAATAAAAAGATAGTCAAAATTGGTCTAGATATCGCACTGCTATGATTTCGCACGTAGCAGTATACATTTCCATATATACATACATACATATATGTACATAGAAAAACGTTGTATGTCTTTTAGCAAAGTGTCAGAACAAGAAGCTGGGTATGAGAGCGGCTTACGTTCTTAATCCTCCTTTTTTGTTCTTTTTTTTTGCTTTAAGCAATAAAGCATAGCATGCTTTAATGTATGTGGATATTTGTGCAGAAATGCGTGGGTTGTTTTCTTTTGTATCTTATTTTAGCAACCTTTCTACACCAAAATATTGTGGTTTCACATGAGTATATTTATGTGTGTGCATTAGGGTGATACAAAAACAAAAAGTCGGAATTAAAATGCTCTTATGCCCTAGGATTCTATATCGAAAAAAATATTCCCCTATTTTTTTACAAGCTTTTATTTAACTTCACTTGTATGTATGTATGTATGTATCTTTGTATGTCCTGGAACTTTGCAGTCAATATTTAACAAACTTCCCGATGAGCTACAGACTTGAAACTTCAAACTTAGCTCAGTACTCGAGGACAATGCAATATAAAAGATGACTTAATCCGCTAGGTGGCGCAGGAGTCGAGATATTTGTAAAACCCGCATT